TGGTCATGAAAGCGTATGAGTACAAGGAAAGCAGTATAGTACAAGGACAGAGATAATCGCTTGGTCAACCATAGAATTATATTGAACAACTTGATAATTCCATTCGGATTTTTCAAACAAGGCGACACCACGCTCTACTAATATTACTTAAAAATAATACTAACTTAATATACAGGTGTTATTTTTGGCCATCAACTTAAATAAATTGAATTTGTCGCAGGAGCGCTAATCTGATGTCCAAATTTTTGTTACATTTTTATACCCTGAAGCCATTGAATGTTAAATGTAGACTTATATGTATTTTATATAATTTCGATTTTTGTTAAAATTTAACCCCCTCCCCCCCTATATTCACCCCCTCTCCATCTGCGTTGGTAAATGCATGCATATCCATAATATAATCATAATCTGAAAGTTTCATGAAGTACATCCACAAGAAAAGTTATTGAACAATTAGTAAGCCATTGTTTTTTTTTTCAGCGTTTGAAAATGCTACGCTACTCCGTAGTTTTTCGTTTTGCTCTCGCTACCGCTCTCATTTTTGACGAGAGCCGCAGCGGATCGGTAGCGTAATAATAAAAAGTTTGTGCTCTGCTCTGCTCTCGTAGTTTGTTGTGTTAGAATCTGTAGCGATAGCAATAGTACAAAACGAAATGATGTGCTACGCTCTGCCGTAGCGGTAGCTGAAAACAGATGGCGAAAGCGATAGCTGAAAACAGAGAGCGAGATGATATCATAGCAAGATGATAACAGAGCCAGATGAGAACATAGCGAGATAATAACAGAGCAAATCTGCTAGAGCGGTATGAGCAGCAGCAGATCTTTTTTGTGTTTGTTTTTACTGCACGCTGGTTTTTATTATTTTAAAGAGAAATATATGTAGTACAATATAAAAACAAGTAAGAAAGCTCTAGTCGAGACTGCTCGACTACGAGATCCCCTGAACCCTTGGAGCAATAGATATTTCAATAATTTTTCGCGTCTTTCAGCTTACACAAGAAACACGCACACACACACACACGCACGTACGCACACACAGGCATACATACACACACACGCATACAGACACAAACGCATACACACACTCACATACACAAACACATATAAACACACATACACACGCATGGGCTGCAGTGTGCGCTTACTATGAGAACTTAATTGCTTAATAACTTTTTTTATGGACGTACGATCTTCATGAAACTTTTAGATTATGATTATAACATGTATATGCATGTAATTGCCAAAGCACAAGTCTCTAGTATTTGAAATACGCTTTTTACAAAAGTGAGGATGAGGGGGTGAATTTAGAGGTGGGGGTACATTTTAACAAAAACCGAAATTGTATAAATTGCATATAGGCATACATTAAAAATTTGGAGACTCTAGCAATAAAGGTGTAGAAGATATAATTTTATAACTGGTTTTCGATAAGGGTTTTTATCGATAAAAAAAGATCGGAATGAGTTATCGATTTTTAATGATAAACTTGATATGCGCGCTGTAATTACGGACATTTTAAAAAAATTTGAAGTCTCTAGCTCTTATATCTTCTGAAATCGACGCGTTCATACATACGGACAGACGGACAGACGGACGGACGGACAGACGGACGAGACGGACAGACAGACGGACAGGGCCAAATCAACTCAGCTCGTCGCCCTGATCAAGAATATATATACTTTGTGGGGTCTGCCACGCCTCCTTCTGCCTGTTACATACATTTCAACAAAACCATTATACCCTGATTTCCCATTGAAAATGGGTTCAGGGTATAATAATTTAAATATGGAGCTCTGATGGTTTTGATTTTATTTAGCATTGAAGATGAGTGTAAAGGGGGGCGCTAACCTGATGACGCGCAGTATATACTGAAATTGCCAAAACGATTTTGCCCAATCGGTCTATTTGTTAAAAAAAACAAAAAATACTAATTGTGCCAATAATTTTGTTCAGCAAAATCGAGGTTTATTTTTATACCCTGAACCCATTGGAAATGGGAAATCAGGGTATAATGGTTTTGTTTAATGTATGTAACAGGCAGAAGGAGACGTGGCAGACCCCACAAAGTATATATATTCTTGATCAGGGCGACGAGCTGAGTTGATTTGGCCCTGTCCGTCTGTCTGTCCGTCTGTCCGTATGTTTGAACGCGTCGATTTCCGAAGATATAAGAGCTAGAGACTTCAACTTTTTTTTTAATGTTCGTAATTACAGCGCGGATATCGAGTTTATCATTAAAAATCGATAACTCATCCCGATCTTTTTTTATCGATAAATAACCGTATAAAAAAACCAGTTATAAAATTATATCTCCTACACCTTTATTGCTAGAGTCTCAAAATTTTTAATGTATGCTTATATGCAATTTATACAATTTCGGTTTTTGTTAATATTTACCCTCCACCCCTATATTCGACCCCACAAAAAAAGTTATTAAACACATACGCCCATGCGTGTGTATGTGTGTGTGTATGTATGTATGCCTGTGTATGCGTGCGTGCGTGCGTGTGTGTGTGTGTGTGGGTGTGTGTGTGTGCGTGTTTCTTGTGTAAGCTGAAAGACGCGAAATATTATTGAAATAGCTATTACTCCAAGGGTTCAGGGGATCTCGTAGTCGAGCAGTCTCGACTAGAGCTTTCTTACTTGTTGGTTATTGAAGTTTTTCGCAATATTTTTACTGTATAACTTAAAAAATAAACAATTCTTTTAGTCAATTTTTTGTTTTATTAAAAAACGTTTAAAAAAAACACTTAAAAAATTGCTATCAAGTTTAAAAAGGCAATAATTTAGTTCGTCACTGTATATACACTCCCCGAAATTAAATTAAATCACTAACCAGAGAACACATAGACCGGACAAGTAGTGTAAAGCGTTTTGCACACTTTTTTTCGGGAGTTATCTCCCAGACACTTCGTATTTGCTCGGCTCTTCACTTTTTGGGTTCGGGCTACGAAAATATACGAAAGCACAAACATTTCGCTTCATGCGCTCGACCGAGATGGTCGACTGTTGAACAAAAGATCCCTCTGCGCTGAATGTTTCCCTTGCTCTCTCTCTCTCTCACGATGCTCTCTGCTCTATCAAATATGTATATGTATGTATGCATGTGAGCACAAGCAGCGCTCACAAAAATTGAAATTTCTTCGTAGCGAGAACCCATGCCTTCCCTTCTGTGTGAAGAGTATACCGAACTTTTCAAACCGTTTGGCATGCGTTTTCGTTATTATTTGTGGGAAGGGTATGAAAGCGTTGGTGCGCATAATGAAAATGTTTTCGCGACGAGCATGCACACACACACTTACAGTATGCTGCATGTACTATGAACATTTGTATGCCTGTGTGCGAAGCTCTTTCTGCCTGTAGCAATTTTAAATCCCAGCATTTGCATATGGTCGATCTTGTGAAGTGCTCACATACATATGTATGTATATACATTTCATTGTGTGTACGCATGGGAGGCGCTGCTCACAATTTTGGGATATAACTTGTAGAAGCACTTGTATGCCTGTGTGCCTTTACATGTGCGTGTGTGTATGTGTTTGTATGTATGCATGGGAGATGAACATTGGCGTGTGCCTCCCTCAACTTAGAATGGTGTGAACGATTTTGGGCTTTAATTGAAGAGGCGCGCTTATGTTTAAGTACCTGTTTTGATTCAATGATCGTGTGTTTACCTATCAGAATGAATATTTTTTAAAAAGGTGGTACCTGATTAATACAAATCTTTGTAAAAATGATCAATTTGACCTGTTTACGTATTCATCTTTTTAAAAAAGTGTCAAATTGACCTGCGTATGTATGCACAAGTGCAAGGGTTCAAAAAACACATCCCATTTTGCCCACTGGGATTAAACAGGTACCACATTTAAAAAAACATTCATTCTGATAGGTAAACACACGATCATTGAATCAAAACAGGTACTTAAACATAAGCGCGCCTCTTCAATTAAAGCCCAAAATCGTTCACACCATTCTAAGTTGAGGGAGGCACACGCCAATGTTCATCTCCCATGCATACATACAAACACATACACACACGCACATGTAAAGGCACACAGGCATACAAGTGCTTCTACAAGTTATATCCCAAAATTGTGAGCAGCGCCTCCCATGCGTACACACAATGAAATGTATATACATACATACATACATATGTATGTGAGCACTTCACAAGATCGACCATATGCAAATGCTGGGATTTAAAATTGCTACAGGCAGAAAGAGCTTCGCACACAGGCATACAAATGTTCATAGTACATGCAGCATACTGTAAGTGTGTGTGTGCATGCTCGTCGCGAAAACATTTTCATTATGCGCACCAACGCTTTCATACCCTTCCCACAAATAATAACGAAAACGCATGGCAAACGGTTTGAAAAGTTCGGTATACTCTTCACACAGAAGGGAAGGCATGGGTTCTCGCTGCGAAGAAATTTCAATTTTCGTTAGCCTACTTGTACTCACATGCAGTACATAGTACATGTAGCAAGGGACAGTGTGTGTGTGCATGCTCGTCGCGAAAACATTTTCATTATGCGCACCAACGCTTTCATACCCTTCCCACAAATAATAACGAAAACGCATGGCAAACGGTTTGAAAAGTTCGGTATACTCTTCACACAGAAGGGAAGGCATGGGTTCTCGCTACGAAGAAATTTCAATTTTTGTGAGCGCTGCTTGTGCTCACATGCATACATACATATACATATTTGAGAGAGCAGAGAGCATCGTGAGAGAGAGAGAGAGCAAGGGAAACATTCAGCGCAGAGGGATCTTTTGTTCAACAGTCGACCATCTCGGTCGAGCGCATGAAGCGAAATGTTTGTGCTTTCGTATATTTTCGTAGCCCGAACCCAAAAAGTGAAGAGCCGAGCAAATACGAAGTGTCTGGGAGATAACTCCCGAAAAAAAGTGTGCAAAACGCTTTACACTACTTGTCCGGTCTATGTGTTCTCTGGTTAGTGATTAAATGCACTCAGTTTTCTCCTCTTTTTTTTTTCTTGAGTATTTAACGCATATTTCTGTTAGTTATATGTTATACGCAACAAATTTTTTAAATAATTTTTTTAAACAAAAAAATTGTAATGTAAGAAAGAAATTATAATGTAAAAATGTAAAGCGTTTGAATTGTGTTTTTTTATTATAAAATGTATTAAACATACTATTTTGACGATTAATTGGGTTTTTGTTGATGTTTATCAATTTGTAGTGAAATGCGAAGAGGAGAGATGCTGACGAGCTAAAGCCTTTCCACACAATGGCATCAAAAAATCCAAAATCGGTGATTATGACTTTACTTATTTTTGCCACGCTCTGCCGGCAGAGGCCCTACTGTGCGTCGTAATAGCCGGTAAGAAAATCGTCGGGCTAAGCGGATTGTTAAAAGTGGAAACGTACTAGGCGGTGTCTCTTTCATATAAGTTTGTTTGGGGACCAGCCAAACCATCGAATTTACGTCGTTATAACCGGTTAAACGCTTTAAGTGAAGTCGTTATAACCCGATTCCACAGTATTTTTAATCAAACCAAATCCACCCCCCTTACAAACTAATTTGCATTTTTGAAGGTATCACTTTAATTTTTAATATTAAATTGCCTTATTCAAATCAAATTAAAGCTAAATACATAATTACCAATGTTGATTGTGACTGTGAACCAAAATCGCTAATGCAGCACTTTGTGAGCGCGGCTCGTATTAGTTAATGAAAAAAAAAAAATAATTAATAGTTAATATGGCACGATTTTCCTGCGCATACTGTGAGATTTCCTATTAAAAATCCGTATAAAGTACGTTCACTTGGAAGTAGTTCATAACCGATATTCTTTAATTGATAGGGGTCTTGGATCAAGTCATATGCCTCAATAAAATTCTAGACAAAAAAAGTACAATTTATTATCGTAATATATAATAAATATTCGTATAATATATATCGTAATTAATAAATATTCAACATAGTTACCTCGGTATCATAGAACTCACAATAAATGCGATCCAGCTTATACCGAAAATCTCTAATACACGTGTATGTATTGTTCCACGCATCTTGGCAATGACAATCTGCATCTAGCGTACATTGCGCTAAATGGTCTGTCTGCTTCCCTGGACACTCTGAATTATATGTTTCGTCATTTCCTTCACCCCAATACTCAACGAGCAATACTCGATGTTGTGATTGTCGTTTCGCCGGATGCAGCTGTAGCAACTCATCTTTAAAAGAGCGGCCATCAACATAATTGGGGACTGATAAGCCGACCCATTCTAAAATGGTAGGCATCAGATCTACCAAACTAACAGCGAAGTTCATTAAAATACTGCCAGGTACATCTGGTCCACGAATAAGTAATGGCACCTTAATGTCAGTCTGATAAGGTTGTCGTTTATCAAACGGCTGTGCAAACTGACCCAAGTGATAACCATTATCAGAAGTGTAAATGATATAAGTATTATCGAGGCATTGATATTTCTTAAGTAATGTTATTATGGCCACCATCATTTCATCAACTGCGAGAAGTGTTTCCCAGCGTTTTTGGAAATACTTATCAACTGTGAGCACAGTGGAATTCGGCAAACGCTTGGCTGTTCTAACCAGCCAATGTTTATCTGCAGAAATAAAATAAGTTTAAATATATAATATCAAGCAAGACATACCTTTACTAGGAGCGTTAAAACTTGGAGTACGTAACGCTCGGACATGGGAAAATACACCTTTATGCCGCGGTGCTGGAGTGAAAGGCGCGTGAGCGGCTGGGGGTGAAATCATTGCAAAAAAGGGATTCTGGCCTTTTCTCACATTATGAATAAATTTTAACGTTCGGTCTCTTAACATATCAGTTAAATAAATATCCGCATAGCTGACATTTCTTCTATTTTCACGTATTGTATAGTTATAGTAGCGAGAGTTTCCGTGAAGGCCATAAAACTTATCCCAACCGGGCGGAACTTCAGCGCCCTTAAACTGATTTAAATACTTTCCAGCAAAAAATGTATGATATCCATGCTTTTGCAACAACACTGGCAATGTGCGTAGCTCAGATAGTGTACGCCAATGATGCCCATTGCAACCACCATTTATCGAATTATTAAAAGTCAGATGGTTATGCGCATACTGACCTGTTAATAGGCTTGCTCGCGCAGGACAACAGAGTGGTGTGCTTGTATATGCATTCGTAAACTTTGTACCATACTCAGTAAGCAATTCTGTAGTTTTTTGTAGTGGATGCAAGCCATGTAGCTCTACGTCCTGATCATCAGTCAATAATAAAAGTACATTCGGTACCGGCGATTGTATGAATCCAATTGTCTGATCGATGCAAAATAGAATACTGATATACAGAATCATATTAATCTATATTTGTTATACAAAATATGATGTTTTCATTTTAGAGTCGTTTGGTAAATAAAAGGCAAAGTTACTTCTTGAGGATTCTGTTTCCGTTTACTATTATACTAGTATGAACTAAAGGTGGTAAAAACATCTATGATATTTTCGATGTATCGATGTATCACATTTTACGAAAACATCGATGTTTGATAATGACTATCGATGTTTTCTTTGTATACATACAGGGATTAATCAGGTACTACATAAAAAAAAATTCATTCTGATAGGAAAACCCACGATCATTGAAATAAAATCATATACTTAACCACTGACTATAGAACATATAGACTAGACATGTAGAACAAAGTTTTCTACAGCAGAAAATGTTAAGTTGGTCGACCACTATACTTCGTATTTGCTCGGCTCGGTCGCTGGAGGTTCGAGCAGTGAAAATATTGCACCACAAAGTCAGTGCGCTGGAAGCGCTCAAACGAGATGGTTCCATTCTTATATTAAGCGCAGCTTTTCGCTATTTGTCCTACTCTTGAGTGAGCAGAGAGCATTGACAGAGAGAGAGAGAGCGCAAGGGAAACATTGAGCATCCAGTGTTGCCGTTTTTTCCCGAGAAAAAATAGCTGAATCAGGACAAAACTAAGCAAAAATAAGCTGAATCTCAGAAACAGTTAGCTGAAAAATAAGCTAATATTTTAGAATTGTTTTTTTTAATATTGTAATAGATAGATACGCGTACAAATATTGTAACAAACATTTCATATTCATGAAAAGCAAAACGAAAATAATTGATATTTTAACATTATACATTTTAAATGTTTACATTGATAATAAACACTGACCAAACAACACATAGACTAGACATGTAGAGCAACGTTTTTCCACGCCGCAAAATCTGTGTAGCAGGTCCCGGCCAACTTCGTATTCGCTCGGCTTGGTATTGGCTGGCTCGGGTAATGAAAGATAGCACGACGAAATCAGTGCGCTCTAAGCACGCAAACGAAATGGCCATGAATGCGCTTTGCGTTTTTTGTCTTACTCTCCCTCTCTCTCTCTAACTCTCTCTCTCTCTCTGTGGGCTCTCAAATCATGAAGCTCAGCAGCGCACAAAAATTGAAATTTCTTCGCGACGGTCCCCGCTCTTTCCTTTTGAGTAAAGAGTATACCGAAATCTTCAAATCGTTTGCGACATTCATGCAAACAAAATGTTAGCGTTTCGATATATATTTATGGGAAGGGTATGAATGCGTTGAGGCGCATAAAGAATATGATCTCGCGACGGGCATGCACACACACACTTGTAGTCCCTTGCCACATGCATGTATGAGCATTTGTGACCTGCGTGCGTTACTCTTGCTGCTTGTAGCAATTTTAAAGCCCAGCATTTGCATTTGGTCGGTCTTACGGACTGTCATAACCACTTTACACAGATGTACTATGTATGAACATACATACATATGTACATAAGTACATTTATATATTATTATTGCTAATCATGTTTATAAATGTGTTTATATCCATAAATAATTATATATAATTAAAATTATTTTATACACATTTTTAACCGAAAAAATTATCGTAAAACACTACTAACTTTATTAAATGCTTTGCAATATATGAAATACACATGTCATATTATACTCAAGCTTTACTCATTATTTTCAAAAATTTCTAATTAAGTCATAATGGCCCATTTGATAGTCACCCTACGATTCAAATCATACAAAATTTACAAACTACTAAATCCAGAGACAATTAGCTTGCCATCCCATACAAGCATACACATACACAAATGTATGTATGCATGTGCTCACTTCACAAGGCAGACCAACGGCAAATTTTGGGCTTTACAATTTGCACAGCCTGTTCTGCACAGAAAGAATACATTTTCGCGACGAGCATGCACACACACATTTACATCCTTGGCACGTGTATGTGCTTTTGTGTGCGTGCGTCGCGAAACTCAATTCATTCTCAGTATTTTCGTCAATCATCAGTTACTGTCCCGTTTTACATGCATGTATGAGCCCTTATGTGTTAGTATGGGAAACTATTCTTGCTGCCTGTGGAATATTGTAAGTATGTGTGTTCATAATACGTGAACATTGGCTTGTGCTTGCCACGGGCTTTTAATTGTGCGAGCGATTTCGAATTAAATCTGCAGAAGGGAGTGTTAAACGACCTTTTTTTATTACTTTGTGTGCTTTTTATTGCTAAGAATCGTGCCAAAATTATTAAAGTTTTTTTTAAAACTATGGCTGAGACAAGTGTTATAAAAAAATCAACTGATGATGTCAAAAAATGTTCACGAAGAAATGGCGGGAAATGCATAATTGAAACGTGTGGTGCGAGTTATAGGCAGAGTTCCATGCATTTTCCGGTTAGATTATTTGCGTTTCCGTCTAAAGAATTTCAGTTAAACAAGTGGATTAAAGCATGTAATTTACCAAATAATTTCGACCCAAAAAGGTCTAGAATATGTAACAGGCATTTTGAACGGAAATATATTGGTAAACGTTTTTTAAGAGTTAATGCAGTTCCAACTTTAAATTTGGGCAATTCAAATTTGCTCTCAAATAATAATGCTGACGTAAGTGATGACATTTATTCAATAGATTTTCAGGAAGAAAATATTATTCCTTATAGCTATACAAAGAAAAGTTTAGACAAAGTAGTGGATGGCTTTGTGAAGCCATCTGACACAGAACAGCAGCATCCGATCAGCAACATTCCAAATCCAAGTGACGAGGAAGATAATTTGGAGAATTTTTTGAGCTTTGACAATAGCTTAAAAAATCAATTGTGGCAAGATTTAAGTGCCGGTAGGTCTTCTTTTTGCTCAAATTGTTTGAAAAGAGAGCAAAATGAGCTATATTATAGGAACAAATACTATGATATGGGAGTAGACCTCAAAAAATCTCAGCAAGAATTCCTTAAATTAAAGAAGAAATATTTAGCTTTAAAAAATGCCTCTAGACACAGAAACATTTATTATAGAATTAGAAAGGTAAAAAAGCATGTTAATGTCTTCACGACAATTAACAATTTACCTCATGTTTCTGAAAATTCAAAAGTATTATGTAGAATGCTTTTGAAAAATAATCATGTCTATAATAGTGCTGAAAGGGCAACTGCCCAAAATATTAATTTTTATTCAGCTAGGACATATGGATTATCTTAGGGATGTTCTTAATTTAAGACTCCCATGTAAGAAATCTTTAAATCGATGGGCGATTTTGAAAAATTTAGTTCCTGGATTTAATCCAGACTTATTAGAAAATTTGCAGGGCATTGTTGAGAAAATATGCCGTATTAGTTTGCGATGAGCTCAAAGTAAAAAGAGGGCTTCAGTACAATTCATCTCTTGACGAGATACAGGGATTTGAAAACGATGGTGTAAAACGAAGTAGGTTTTTAGGACAGCAAGTCTGTGTTTTCCTTGTTAGGGGGCTTTTTGAGAACTGGAAGTATGTTTTAAGCTATACGGTTTCAGCCCGTGGCATAAATCATACTGACCTAAAAAAAAAATTTGAAGAAAATATTGGACTGTCGCAAGCATTAGGGCTCAATGTCAAAGCCGTTGTTTGCGATCAGGGATCCAATAATAGAGCAGTGTTTAATAGATGGGGTATTGATTTCAATAATCATAGCTTTGAGGTTAATGGTGAAAAAATTTTTGCCATATTTGATGCACCGCATCTAGTTAAATCCCTTCGAAATATTCTTTTAAAGAAGAATATTTCAACACCAGAAGGTACAGTTTCATGGGGAATAATTAGAAAATTATATGAAACTGAAACCAAGAATTTAACACGTTTATGTCCGAAATTAACCTTAAAGCATGTCAGTCCGAATTGCTTTGAAAAAATGAAAGTGAAATTAGCAACACAAATCTTTAGCCACAGTGTAGCTGCTGCGATACGCACTGTTGTCGAAACAGGTGGGTTTGCCGATTGCAAAGACAGTGCAGTTGCAACGGCAATATTTATAGATAAAATTAATAACCTTTTTGATTGCTTAAATAGTCATGTGCTATTTGATAGCAATCCTTATAGATGTGCTCCTAGGGAGAAAAATAATATTCACGAATACCTTCTGGAAATGCGTGATTATTTCAAAAATCTGCATTATCCACACAAAGTGTATTGCATTGATGGGATGATAATTACAATCTCATCGGTAATTGCTTTGGCAGAAAATATTTGGAGTGACAACAATGATCTTTTCTTTATTGCCACATCCAAATTGAACCAAGACCCATTAGAAAATTTATTTTATTTAATTAGAAGTCGGGGAGCGACAAATACCAATCCCACCATTTTTGAATTTAATTCTATAATATCAAGAATGTTATCTATGAAAATATTAACATCAGCATCTGTGTCTGGAAATTGCATTCCAGATGAGGATCTCATGTTGGCCAATATCATAGAAGATAGTGGGTCTCAACTATCTGTATTTCATGACCAATGTAATTCACGTCATACTGCTACAGATATTGAACCTGATGCTGATTTAGAAATAGAATTGTCACGATTGCTAATATACAAAATGCTTTTAATGAAAATGCATTGCGATATTTTGCTGGCTATCTTCTACACAAGCTGTTGCAAAGAACAGATTGTGAAGTATGTACAAATCTTTTAAAGTCATCAGATGAAATGCAGTGCTCTTCTGAGTATTTAATACTCAATAAAAATTATCATTATATAAATAAATATCTTAAGTTGAAAGCCCCTTCTGACCTTTTCTATAATATGATAAAACTGCATTTCGAAACGTTTAAGACCATTTTTGAAAAGAAACCATATATGCCACGTATCAAAGAGAAAATTGTTCTGTACTGCATGCACGCTACAGCAAAATCGTCTTTAGATACTGAATGGTTTTCTCCCACCCACCCTTGTTTTGAGCATAGGAAATTTATTCTTAATCAGTTTGTCTTAATTCTTATTAGGAAGAATTGTAAATGGCAAACTGAAAAAATTGTTGGTAAAACCAGCATAAGTAAAAGGAAATTAAAAATAATACATCAATAGGGAACTTTACTTTATATTAATTTTGGCACAATTCTTAACAGTAGAAAACAGTGAGGTTTTAATGAAAGGTCGTTAACACTCCCTCTGCAGATTTAATCCAAAATCGTTTGCACAATTAAAAGCCCTTGGCAGGCACAAGCCTTATTATATGTATGTATGTAAGAAAGTACGTATATATATGTATATACATACATATGTATGTATGCATGTACATACATATATACTTACTTACAATATTTCATAGGAATATTTCAGCAGCATAGCGATTCTCACATACATATGTACATACATATTAGGGCTGCAAAACCATCGGTAGAGGTTACCCTCGATAGATTTATCCATCGATGGAATGAGCCATCGATACTATCGATAGTTCCATCGAAGATTTGAAGTTTTTACAAATGAATAAATTTTAAATAATTTCGATCATACATCCAGCATAAAATGATTCGTGCAATTTTGTATAAGAAGACAATACAATAGTAATCGGATATTTATGTGATGGTTGTATATCTAATAACATATATATTGTATTACATATGGATAAAATTGGATGCGTCATCCTCAGAAGCGGTGGGCAAAAATCTAGTAATACTAGCAGCAGCTGTGGAAGACTTAGAATTATCAAAGTGCGCCACAGTAGAACGCGAAGCAGAAGCGCCATCTTAAATGTACATAATATAATAAAAAACAAACTTGCACTTTAAACATCAGTTTGATGGCCTTAAAAATGTATCCATACATTCTTACGAAGAACCACCAAATATCATTGAAATATAGCTATAAAAGCTAATCACAATATAATAATATTATTAACTTAATGTTTATATATATATGTTATGTTATATATGTATATTCCGGAAAATGCTTACATGCGTCTCTTTGCGCCACCTAGTAGTAAATTATCGATGGATGAAAAAAACCATCGATATATCATGAAAGCCCAAATCCATCGATACTATCAATAGTCTGCATCGATGGATTTGCAGCCTTAATACATATGTAATTAGATATGTATACATGTAAGTAAACACATATTCATTAAGCACAGAACATTCGTATATCCTTCATACAAATAACAATAATCTTAAAATCTTACATTGTCTTGTAAACTCTTTCAACAGTCTGGTATATGTACTCTTCAAGAAGAAGTGCAATGAAGGGAAATGGACTGGCTTGAGCGGACAAACATATGTACATATAAATTTACAAATTATATTATTCCAATGTTATTGAATTATCTTTGTTTTTATTATTGATTTGTTTATTGTTTATTTATTGTTAATACATATACATATATTGAAGTTTATGTTTTATATTTATTAAGTTAATCAAATAATATCAAACAAATTCCTATTTAAAACAATTGTTTTTATGAATTGATGACTTCGGTAGGCAAGCACACGATCATTGATACAAATTAAAAGGTACTTAAATAGAAACGCGATTCTGCAATGCGAACCCTAAATTGGTCAACCAATTCCAAGTTGAGGTAGGCACACGCCAATGTTCATGTCCCCTGCATACACATATGCACATACACACACGTACATGTAAAAGCCCACAGGCATACAAATGCTTCTACAAGTGCTATTCCATAATTGTGAGCATCGCATCCCATGTGAACACACACACAATCAAATGATACATGTACAAGACCGACCAAATGCAAATGCTGGGCTTTAAAATTGCTACAAGCAGCAAGAGTAACGCACGCAGGTCACAAATGCTCATACATGCATGTGGCAAGGGACTACAAGTGTGTGTGTGCATGCCCGTCGCGAGATCATATTCTTTATGCGCCTCAACGCATTCATACCCTTCCCATAAATATATATCGAAACGCTAACATTTTGTTTGCATGAATGTCGCAAACGATTTGAAGATTTCGGTATACTCTTTACTCAAAAGGAAAGAGCGGGGACCGTCGCGAAGAAATTTCAATTTTTGTGCGCTGCTGAGCTTCATGATTTGAGAGCCCACAGAGAGAGAGAGAGAGAGTTAGAGAGAGAGAGGGAGAGTAAGACAAAAAACGCAAAGCGCATTCATGGCCATTTCGTTTGCGTGCTTAGAGCGCACTGATTTCGTCGTGCTATCTTTCATTACCCGAGCCAGCCAATACCAAGCCGAGCGAATACGAAGTTGGCCGGGACCTGCTACACAGATTTTGCGGCGTGGAAAAACGTTGCTCTACATGTCTAGTCTATGTGTTGTTTGGTCAGTGTAATAAATCTGCCAATAGAAATTCTACAGACTCTCCGGTCTCATAATTTAAATATTCCTTGGTTGCGATCGATTTGAGGCAGTTTAGAAAAACTCTGTAATCAAAACATCATCTGTTATCTCGGCTCAATTCGGATGTAAATTTTTAAAAATATTAGTTTCTGTATTTCTTTAAATCTTTTCCCTTTGGTTGATATTGAGTTTAACGTATGAAAGCTCATCCTATTTCTTATTTAATATTTTATTAAACTGATTTGGCTAAAGCACTAACCAGAGAACACATAGACTAGACAACTAGTGGAAAGCTTTTTGCACGCTTTTTCTGAGGCTTTAACACCCCAGACAGCTTCGGATTCGCTCGGCTCCTCACTTTTAGGTTCGAGCTACGAAAATATAAGAACGCACAATCATTTCGCTTCATGCGCTCGACCCGGTCGAGAAAAAATTTCTTCATTAAATAAAAATGCGGAAATAAAGCAAATTATTCATTAAAAAATCCACAATTCCCGCTGCGCGCTGTTTTGGAATCATCTACGTAAATGTAAGCGCGCCTCTTCAAATAAAACCCAAAATCGTTCACACAATTCTAAGTTGTCGTAGGCACACGTCAATGCTCATGTCGCATGCATACACACATAAATATACACAAACATACTCACATACATATAAAGGCACTCAGATGCTTCTACAATGATAACCCCATCATTTGTGAGCATCGCGGCCCCTGCGTACACACAATCAAACATATGTATGTAAGTGTGAGGAGTTCACAAGATCGACCTAATGCAAATACTGGGCTTTAAAATTGCTACAGGCGGCAAGAGCCTCGCACACAGGCTTACAAATGCTCATAGTACATGTAGCAAGGGAGAGTGTGTGCGTGCACGCTCGTCGCGAAAGCACTTTCATTATGAGCACCAACGCTTTCATACCCTTCCCACAAATAATAACGAAAACGCAAATATTTTGTAGGAGCTTGGCAAACGGTTTGAAAAGTTCGGTATACTCTTCACACAGAAGGGAAGGCATGGGTTCTTGCTGTGACGAAATTTAAATTTTCGTGAGCTGCTGCTTGTGCTCACATGCATACATACATATACACATTCGAGAGAGCAGAGAGCATCGAGAGAGAGAGAGAGCAAGGGAAACATTGAGCATAGAGGGATCTTTTGTTCAAAATTTCACCATCTCGGTCGAGCGCATGAAGCGAAATGATTGTGCGTTCGTATTTTTTCGTAGCTCGAACCTAAAAGTAAGGAGCCGAGCGAGTCCAAAGCTGTCTGGGGTGTTAAAGCCTCAAAAAAAGCGTGCAAAAAGCTTTCCACTAGTTGTCTAGTCTATGTGTTCTCTGGTTAGTGGTAAAGCGTAATCGTTGTATATGTCATCGAACCACTGAGTCAAATACAAGTTCCGAGCCACCACTAAGCGGAATTTTGTAGTCGATAAAAAGATAAACAAAATGAAAAAACCCTGAACCACAGTATGAAAATTGATATTTTTATAATAAAATTGCTAAAATTGCTAAACAAATATTTAAAATTGCTAGATTTGTGACTAATAGCATTTAAAAAAAAAATTGCTAAATGTTCTTAAAAGTTGCCAGATCTAGCAACTAAATTGCTAAACTGGCAGCCCTGATGTGAACCACTCTATATGTTGCTTGGTCAGTGATGTAAATGACTGAATGCTATACGATATGGAATTAGAGACATCCATTAACACAAACTTAGTTTTCTCATCTCGAAGCGCAGCTGACATTCTATAGTTACTTCGGATTATTAATTAATTAATAATATAATTAAATATATGTTATAGTTACTTATTCTGCATAATTTTATTTATATTTACACAAGCTAATTTATAAAAGTATCAAGTTATTTGGAAAATCAAAGTACTATATGAACATTGTTAAATTGAAAATTACTAATCATCTTTCAGTTTAGTTTACGAAATTTAATGTTTCCTTGTCTTAAATGATCTACGATTTCACTCTTCGGATCTCTAATCCCTTCTCTTAAACTACCATGGTATTGAATCTATTTGCACGTGGCAGCTATCTGTTGCGTCATACCCATAAAAACACTGCAAGGAGTCGGGCCTACGGAATGGCAATAAATATAAGAAAAGCACCAGATAACAAGATAATAACTATTGGTGATGTACACGCACGTTTAACAAAGCCCAAGAAAGGGCATTTGGTGCCACGCAAGTATGGTAAGATTTATATACATATGTAGATTATTCATATAATACAGGAATCGCAAATAAGAGTTATGAATTAAAAAAAATTTAGCCTCAAAAGAAGCCTCAAGATGAGAGAGGAAAACACACATCACTTTAATTATATCCTGAACCCATTGAAAATGGGAAATCAGGGTATAATGGTTTTGTGGAAATGTACATACATACAGTTTGACACGAAAGTGTTTTCACTTGGGAAAAAAATAGCAATTTTGTTCTTTGACATTAAAAAAAAAAAACTACTAAATGTGATATTTCTAATTTTTTTAAAATTACATTATGTTTTCCAATTTGTTGTCTTACAAAAATAACTTTAAAAAAATTAAAAAACTCTTAACATAGGCTTAAATAACAATAACAACATAAAAGATATTCAAATTCAACTGACACGAAAGTGTTTGCACAAAAATAAAGTATTCAAAATAAGGCACTATTAATTATATTAAGTATCAAAATTAATATTTAGTATGACCCCCATTGGCTTCAATGACCGCTTCCAACCGTCTACTCATAGAATTGATTAGTTTTTGCACATATTCCACCGGTGTCTTCTCCCATTCCTCTAATATACAGGCTTTCAAATCGCTTTTGTTTGTTAGACCTCGCTTGGCTGTCCTTTTTTTTTAGATCAGCCCACAGATTCTCTATGGGATTAAGGTCGGGACTTTGTGCAGGAGTATCCAACACCTTTGCACAATTGTAGAGAAGCCAGCACCTGACTATGTTAGCTTTGTGTTTGGGGTCATTATCTTGGTAAAACCTAAATGTTGGTTTACCATCCCTAAAAAATCCAAACTTGCGGGCACTGGATACTAGATTCGTGCGTAAAATCTCCAAATACTGTTTCGCATCCATTGTACTCTCGATAAAGCACAATTCTCCAACTCCTTTACTAGAAATACACCCCCAGACCATCACTGAAAGTTTTCCGAACTTAATAGTGGGAATTATATTTTTCCGTTCAAGGGCTTTCAACGGCTTTCGCCAAACACGGCTGGGTCCATCGTTGTAATACAACATCATCTTCTTCTCGTCACAAAATATGGTTTCATCCCAATATGAATCCACATGTCCCACATGCATCCTGGCGAATGTTAGACGTCTTTTCTCATGATTCGACGACAACAATGGTTTTTTTCCGCGCAACTCGGTATGCAAACTCGTTCCTTTTTAGGGCTCTGCGGACACTTTCGCGGGATATGTCAATACGACATTCTTCCTGCAGCTCCCTGGCAAGCGTTCTGGTCGAAATTGTTGGGTTATCATTAACTTTCCTGGCCAGAATACGCTCGGCCCTATCTGTTAACGCCCGAGGTTGTCCAGTTGAATGCCTTGGCTCCAGTGTTTCGTTGTTTTCTGCGCGGCTTAAAATATTGTAAATGGTCCTCTTCGATATTATAAACATTTCTGCTATCTCCGCCATTAATTTCCTATGGAGTGGTTATAATAAACCAATTGAATAATGTCAAATGACAATCGCTTCCCTGTCATTCTTAATTTGTTTAAATTTTTTGAAGATTGAATCGATTCTTACAAAATATGACGAAATTGTTCAGAACATAGCATTAGCCACAGCTGTGCACATTGAAATCGCCGAAAACAACGGTAAATACGAATTTAGCAGTAAGAACAAATATAGAATAGCATGTGTGCAAACACTTTCGTGTCAGTTGAATTTGAATATCTTTTATGTTGTTATTGTTATTTAAGCCTATGTTAAGAGTTTTTTAATTTTTTTAAAGTTATTTTTGTAAGACAACAAAT